GATAAAAAGCAGTTTTTTCCAGTTGTGTAATCGAAAAGACGATAAAGTTAGTATTATATAAGTGAAGGTTAGGGTTTGGGGTGTTTCGAATCTGATGTTCTATTGAATGTCAAGGTCCCTGTAGGGGAAACGTGATTTTGTCACGATCTGAAAATTGTATTTTTAGAATGTACGGTCCATAAGCTAACTATCGTTACCTTACTTATGTATCAAAAGACAGTTCATGAAGAAATATAGCGGGTTATTCCAGGTGCATAATCGAAAAAGACGTGAAAGTTAATATTATTCGGTTTCGAACCTGATGCTCTATTGGCTTTCAAGGCCATTGTAGCAGAGACGTGAATTTGGGCCAGCCTGAAAATTGTATTTCTGAAATCTACGATCCATTGCATAAGCTTTCTGTTTATGCCTCATTCGTGCATCGTCAGGCCGGAAGTGGAGATAAAGAGTAGTTTTTTTTCCAGCTGTGTAATCGAAAAGACGATAAAGTTAGTATTATATAACTGAGGGTTAGGGTTTGGGCTGTTTCGAATCTGATGTTCTATTGAATTTCAAAGTCCCTGTAGCGGAAACGTGAATTTGTCACGGTCTGAAAATTGTATTTTTAGAATCTACGGTGCTTTATTCGTGTATCAAAAAACAGTTCATAAAGAAACAAAGCAGGTTATTTCAGGTGCATAATCGAAAAAGACGTGAAATATTATGCGGTTTCGAACCTGATTCTCTATTGGCTTTCAAGGCCATTGTAGCAGAGACTTGAATTTGGGGCAGCCTGAAAATTGTATTTCTGAAATCTACGATCCATAAGCTTTCTATCGATGCCTTAATCGTGTATCAAAACACAGTCCGTGAAGAAACAAAGCATGTTATTCCAGGTGGATAATCGAAAAAGACGTGTACGTTAATGTTATGCAGCGATTTCGAACCTGATGTTCTATCGACTTTCAAGGCTGTTGTTGCACAGACTTGAATTTGGGCCAGTCTGAGAATTGTATTTCTAGAATCTACGTTCCTATGCCTTCTGTCTATGCCTGATTTGTGCATCATTAGACGATAAAAAAACAGGTTTTTACAGCTGCATGTATAGTCGAACAAAACGTGAAAGTTAATACAATTATATTCGAACCTTTCCCTGCCCAAAATGATTCCGACTCAACCAGGAATCGAACCTAGCTTCTCACACGTGCAACGCTTTGTCCTTACCATTAGACCATCTCGCCTACACTTGCTGTAACTCCCTTTGTTATTCCACTTAACTCTTTCTCGTCTCGGGTGGAATTAATAAACAACGATGCCTGACATTAAAATGCTTTCGGCACAACCAGGAATCGATCCTGGCTTTACGCACTTGCAACACTTCGTCTTTACCACTAGACCATCTCGCCTACACTTGTTTTAACCCCTTTTTTATTCTACTTAACAACGATGTCTGACATTAAAATGCTTTTTGACTACAGCAGGAATCGATCCTAACTTAGCACAATTGCAACACTTTGTCCTTACCAGTAGACCATCTCGCCAACTAGCACAATTGCAACACTTTGTCCTTACCAGTAGACCATCTCGCCTGCACTTGCTTTAACTCCTTTTATATTCTACTTAACTCTTTCTCGTCTCGGGTGGAATTAAAGATCTCGGTGGTATTAAACTATACTTATATCTACATAATCCCTCATCACCAAATTTTATTTAAAAAAATTAAGTCGGCAAAAATTCAGGGCCTGACCCTTTACTTTTTTTTGCACGAAAATGTAGCTTAAATGTCAAAAAATGGACGAACTTTTCTTTTTCCCCATTTGGGGAAATTTCCATTTTTATGCCAATCTTTGCACCATTTTTCAAATCATAAAACTGTACTCTTACGAAAACGTAAAAGGCTAACCTTTACTTGCTTTGCCTATCTTTCAAAAAGCGGTATAAAGGCGGCGTTAGGGGGGGGGGGGAAGGGGGGAAAATTTGCCTCCCCCCAAAAAATTATTAGTCACTGAGAGCGACTAAAGGCTACACAAGCCGCATTTTGTCGTTATCGGAAATTGTATGGCTTAAAAGTTGTCATTACTCATTAGTGAATGCGCTATACATGAAACTGTTTTTGGTAAATACTCCAATAATACGTTTCAAAAAAGTCAAAAAAGCTTTAGTTTTGCATAGTTAAATTCTCAAACGTGTAAGGCACTAATAAGATGAAGGTATCACGAAATTATTTGAGTGATACACGAATAAGGCATCGATAGAAACCTTTTGGACCGTATGTTCCACAAATATAATTTTGAGACCGTGGTTTCTGCTGCAGGGGCCTTGAAATTCAATAGAACGCAAGGTTGGAAACAGCATAATATTAACTTTCGCGTCCTTTTCGATTACACGTGCAGCTGGAAAAACTGCTTTTTATGTCCACGGACGTCTAGTGATGCACGAATGAGGCATCGACAGAAAGCTTATGGACCGTAGATTCCAGAAATACAATTTTCAGTCTGAAAATTGTATTGTTGGAATCTACGGCCATAGGCTCAGGAACCTTGTCCTCAGCGTCAGGAACCTTGTCCTCGACGTCAGGAACCACGTCCTCAGCGCCAGGAACCACGTCCTCAGCGCCAGGAACCACGTCCTCAGCGCCAGGAACCACGTCCTCAGCGCCAGGAACCCGCGTCCTCGGCGCCAGGAACCTCGCGAAAGGCCTCCGAAGTTTTTACTCTTGTGCAATCGAGTGAGATCATATAAATTTGATTATCGCGTATCATGTTTATTATAATAATCGATCGCTATAATAACCACAGTTCACGAAACAGGCATCCTTAATCAACAATCATGCCTCACGGCTGTAGAACAAATCACATTTCACGACACTAAAATCAAGCATTTCACATTTCACGCGAACAAATATTGACCATTCACGGCTCAAGAAAATACCCTTTCCCACCCTCATTTAAGTGATAAGATTATGTGGTTTTCCATAATTCTGATTGTGAGGGGCGTCGGTAATTCTGTTGTAAATGGGGGATTACATTTCGATTAATAAAACCACATGTTTCTAAAATATTAAGCCGGTTGTAACAAGGTTGCTATGAAACTGCGCTAAACAAGACGCAAGCTGATTAAATTCGATATGGTCACGTGTTTAGCGGCGGAGGTGAAGGCTTCGATGGATTTCTTGTTTACATATTTTCAAAAGAATCTGTGGTGCTATTTTTGTGCAATAAATCACTTGGAAACACTATAAAAAGATTTTTCAAATGAAGAAGGGTATAGATATTATATGGGTTTTAAAGTAAGTTTAATTTGGGGTGCAGTATTAATGTTTTGAGCTGGACAATATAGCGTCCTATTTGGGACGTCCCATAGAAATTTGTGTATATTCCATCATATTACTATGGTGTTTTATAGTATTTTTTCTGGTGTGGTTTTCCTGAAAACTTGCTAATTGTATTCCTCTGTGTTTAAGATTCGAAACATAACTAAAACTACGGGATTTTTGGCGTGTTAGGCTATGGAAAAATATGAAAAGCTTGGCAAGATAGGCGAAGGCTCCTATGGTGTTGTTTTCAAATGTCGTCACCGAGAATACGGGCATATCGTAGCGATAAAAAAATTTGTCGAGTCCGAAGATGATCCATTAATAAAAAAGATTGCAATGAGAGAAGTTAGAATGCTCAAGGTAATTTTATAATAAATATAGGTGTGGAAATGTAGTATCGGTAGTTTTATTTTGAAATATATACAAAATATTTGTATCATAATGAAAGGATTACGCGGTTGCATGTTTCATGGCACATTTCAGCTAAATGGTGAAGAAATGGTCGGGATTACAGCACAATCTCCTGAATGATCGTGGGAGAAAACGAAATCTTAGCAGGAATCTATGAAAACAATCTGAATCACTTCTCAATGAAAACAAAGTGTTTTTAATAAAAATATTAATAAAATTAAACTGCCAAAGTCTGCCAGGCTAGTTAATATTTAACACGAAGTAATAAGCTGCCGTGGTTTGTGTCTGAACTACCTGAAAAAGATATATCAAATGTTGAGTTCAGTACTAGGTAGTATTGTACAATAAGCTGCCATGGTTTGTGTCTGAGCTACCTGAAAAAAAATCTCAAATGTGGTGTTCCAGTGTAGGTAGTATTCTACAATCCAGACTGGAAAGTTTGGAATTTGTGCGCCGGAGATTTCGAAAATTTAATAGTAAATATATAGAAAGCATCAAAATTTCACGCTGGAGATATCCGCCGTGCAATACAAACTTTCCACACTGGTCTACAATAAGCTGCCGTGGTTTGTGTCTGAGCTACCTGAAAAAGATATATATCTCAAATGTGGTGGTCCAGTGTAGGTAGTATTCAACAATAAGCTGTCATGCATCACACATTCTTATTTAACTCATGGGAGTTGAGCAGTACTCGTTATATGGAAAGTGTTGCTTATTGTATACTACAATGCACAATTTTTTATAGCAACTAAAACATCCAAATCTTGTGAATTTGTTGGAAGTATTTCGGCGGAAAAGAAAACTTCATATGGTGTTTGAGTTTTGTGATCGCACAGTGTTAAACGAACTGGATGCCAACCCTAAAGGGTGAGTCTCTCATATAATTGTGAATGGTGTATCTCAGTGTAGGTATAGTGGCAATAATAAGACAGCTGTTGACAACCTCGTTTCCAGGCTCTTCCCTCTTGTTGAGGAAAGAATACGGGCAACATATTTTCCTCAACAAGAGGGAAGAGCCTGGGAACGAGGTTGAGCTGTTGATTGATAGGGATACAACTCCCTGAGAAATACAAGGAGAACTTCAATGTTTCGAGCAAAGGTCCCTCCTGACAAAGACAGGGGTGGATTTATAGGGGGGGGGGGGGTGCACACCTCTGTTGGCCTTGGTCAACAGGGGTGCAAAGGGGGTGCAAATAAATTCACAAATATGGCACAATTTCCAAGGTTTTTCCAGCTTTCTTGAAGTCAAACTGAAGCTCATAGTTCAATGCCCATATTGCAGGAAATGGCATTTCTAGAGTTCTAATTTTCAAAATTTTCCGGGGGACATACCCCCTGGACCCCCTGGGGAGCTTGCATCTTCGGCGCTCAAGTCGTTAGGAAGCCAATTCATTTGCATGCTCTCCCACCACCCCCTAAATAATTATAAAGAAACACTCAGCTGCTCACCCAGCACCCCCTAGAAAAACCTTGTTGGATCCACCCCTGGACAAAGAAGCTTCCTGACAAAGGGCCTTTGCTTAGAATGTTGAAGTTCTCCTTGTATTTTTCAGGTAGTTGTATCCCTATCAACCCGAAGCTTTCTGAGTCTCTCATAGTTGAAAGGTCATAGCCGAAAACTGGGTACTCATTCAATTTACACTTGCTGTGAAATTCCAGTGTAAAATGTTCTCAATTTTTCTAGGGTGGATGAAGTGCCAATCAAGAAAATAATTTGGCAAACACTCCATGCTGTTCACTATTGTCATCAACATAGCGTATGCATCAGAAATTGTCTATTGTCAATGTCGTTATCATTGTGATTCAATTTTTACAATTTTTATCCTGATATTTTAGTGTATTCATCGCGATGTGAAACCAGAAAATATTCTTATCACAAAAGCTGGAATTATAAAACTTTGTGATTTTGGTTTTGCAAGAATACTTAGTAAGTATAACAGTTCAACGATGGGTGTTTTAGTTTTTTCCCTGGCAGTTTGTGGCTATAAAGTATGCTGGAGTTCGGCATACCTAATATAACAATGGCTTGTGTAAAAATATTCTTGCATTGGGGCAGCTTCCTACTTTCTCACCATACTGCTACTTACTTAAAAAGATCCCTATCCCCTCCTCACCCTTTTCCCTCCTCTGCCTGTCCCCTCCTCCCCCTTTTCCCTCCTCCCCCTGTCCCCTCCTCC